GTCGGTGGCGGTGGCGGTGGCGGCGGCGGCGGCGGCGGTGCCTTCAAGGGAAGAGATTCTGGTCGTGGATACGGTGACGACTTCGATAGCAAAAGAGATACATACTCCAGTAAGCATCATTTGATATATACAATATATAATAGAAAAAAAAATAATAATAAGACACACACAAAATATAAATTTTGTAAAATACGCGCAAAAAATAGTAAAAAATATAAAAGAAAGAATACACACTGATTTCACATCACTAATGTTCTAGTGATCAAATATGTTTTTCTTTTTGTGTTTAATTTTTTTCACTCAAATTTTATTAATTTTATTTTTATGTTTACCAAGGAGATAATAATTTTGAAATCTGTTCTACAATAGGATATAGCGATAGAAGCGCGCAAGGAGCTAGCAGACAAAGTAATGATAGATGGGATAGTAGAAGTAACAGAGGAAACTATGGTCAATTTAATGAAGAAACAGGTGGAAATCGCGATTGGTCGCGAAGTACATCTAGTAGATCCTACACTAATAAACCTCCTCTTCGTGGAACTACGGATAGAAGACCTTATCATGATGAACCTTACTATAAAGAGGCCGCTGCTCCAGGTATAGCGCATATATTGTGTTACATAGGTAACACAAAATGTATTAAAAAAAAAAAAACTGATCTACTCTTTTGATGTACGATATTTATTTCCAGATACAACTGGAAGAAAACGTTTAGAACTACAACCAAGAACGGTAAAGGAACCTGTTAACGCAATTGCCGAATCGAGTAAAACAAGTTCGATTTACGGAGGTGCGAAGCCTCGAGAAGAAAAATTGAAAATGGACAAGTAAACTGAACGATATCATCAATAATCCCGACTTTTTCCTTTGTGTAAAAGGAAATGGGAAAGAAATTATTGTTGATAACATTTTAAATTCATTGAATCTAAGATTCCCTTATAATTCCCTACAAAAAAAAAAAAAAAAAAAAAAAAAAAAAAAAAAAAAAAAAAACAAAGCGCCTCCGACATTAGTCCGAGGATGACTCCGACTCAATTTTTTTTTGAATCGCGCAAAATACACG